CAAACAGTAACAGAAGACGAACAGAGCGACTGTTAAGCGCGTGCACGCGCGAAGGCGACTCTGACACTTGAACGTGAACGCACGTGTCAGTCAAAGAGACGGAGGAGGGAAGCGCGCGCGCCCACCACGAATTAATGACGCAAATTATCTATAAAAAAACAAAAAACAAAGCGTGAAAAAAGAGCAAAGCTTGGATTTACACGGTGTCATATATTGCCGCGAAATCTGCGGCCGCGCGCGCGCGCTCGGTAAAAGCAAAGCCGTCTCTCCGGAGAATTGAAAGGAAAGCGGTTAAAAGTCCTGCTAAGAGGAGAGAGGAGAGGAGAGCAGAGGGGAGGGAGGCAAAGTTTTTTCCCTGAAAAGTTTGTGCAAGCTTTCACTTTCTAGGCGGGGTTACTGTAAGCTGCTGCAGCAGCAGCAGCAGCATGGAGTGAGAGAAACAGGACGGCGAGCGACTGCCATGCAGCACTATATACCGAGCTTCCATCCAACTTAAATAAGCTCTCCAATCCTTCCCGCTAAAAATAACCATGTACTCGCCGTACTGCTTAACACAGGTAAACTCGCTTCTCTTATTTCATTGTTTGGGGACCGACTATGCTCTCTCTCTCTCTCTGTATCTCTCTCTCTCTCTCTGTGTGTGTGTGTGTACGCGTGTATGCCTCCGTCTATTATTTTCCACACGTCTGTTAGTTTTGTCAGAGCTTGTTTCTGTCGTCTGACTCACTCCGAAACTTCGCCGCGGCTCTCCGTCCCGGCTCGTCGCGCCTCCATGCCGCAGGAAACTTTCCTGAGCACCGCGGGGCTTTTCTCTCCCTCTCGCTTTATTTTTTTTACTTAAAAGAAGAAAATGGCGTTTCTCCTTCTTATGTGTTTTATATTTAAAAAGAGAGAAAAAACACAGTATTAATGATTGAAGGAGATAAATCCGAGTAAGAAAGGAAAGAACGTAGAGAGAGAAAATTAGCAGTCGAGTTATTTTTTTTTTCTCCCAGGGCGGGTCTAGATTTTGACCGGTGAGAGGAGTGTGAGCGCGGGGGAGCGGGGCGCTCAGCGCCCGGCCCGACCCGGCCCACCGTGCTCCGAGCGTGGGGCACTTTCTTCTGAGACTGGGATGTTGACCGTGAGACTGAGGAACTTGTGTGTGTGTGTGTGTGTGTGTGTGTGTGTGTGTGTGTGTGTGTGTGTGTGTGTGTGTGTGTGATAATAAACGGTCCCTTGCGATTGTGTTTTTTTTTTCTTTTTTGTCTTATCTGCTGCAGTGCTCAATTTTCCAAGTGCTTGCACTTGGATGCAACACGTGCACACTTGAGTTGCACGTTAACTACAATAAGGCACGTTGACGTCATATTAGTCATATATCAGTGACTGTAGGATTCTTTAAAAAAAAAATTCTTACACATTTTTATAAGGGCAACATCTAATAACATTACCTGCTTTTCATATGTTTGCCTGAGGTTAAGAAGGCCCTCATGTTCCACACTTTTCAGTTTCAATCCTCAGGGTGCCTCATTTAGAAATAGAACAGTCAAATATAAATGTTAGGTATCTGGTCATTTTTCTGTGACTGCTGTTGCTTGTTGCTTTTTTTTTTCTTCCCGCCAATTATTTTTAACAGTAAGATCCATCTGAGTTGCAGCAAATGTCAGATTAACATTTTTCCTTCTTACTTGTCTTTTGTGTCTCGTCTCATTTTCAGGGATAATCGTTCTTTCTCTTACACCAGTGTTTGATTTATCTGTAAAATCAGATAAATCTGATTATATATATATATATATATATATATATATATATATATATATATATATATATATATATATATATATATATATATACCAGGAATTTTCAGGTTGAGACAAAGTGACCGTAGAGCTATTTTAGTTGAGCTTCCACTCTAAATCTTGTTAAATTATTCAGGCTTTCCTGTTTTTTTTTGGTTAACACCACACAAAAAATGAACATTGGATGATATTGAATATTAGCCAAAAATAATTAGTTTTAGATCAAACATATTATATATTTTAAAGGTAATGTTAAATGCTGGTTTAGCATTTAAATTAAAATTTAACTGAAGATGTCAATTTAGCGATTCCCTTTCGGAGCAAAGAATGGCCATTTCTATCGTTTATATTTGGGTTGTGTTATGAATGCATTTTATGAACTGGAAAAAAAAGTGATGTCATATAACTATGGTTAACAATGTTTCTGTGTTGCTTTGAGCATTTAACCAGTTTATGCTACAGTTAAATCTGCTAACATCCTTTTTACCCTGGAGTCATGAGCTTACCTGTGGTTATCAGGGAAACGGTTTACCTGCCACTTTGTAAGTTTATGATAAGTTCAAGACTGTTTTATCCCCTAATGGCAAACTGATTTTTAGTTTCTTTTCAGGTTATAAGCTTAATGCTCTTAGTAACTAATTTTACTCAGGCAGTTAGGTGGTCATGATTAGCTCTTTAACCTTGGTCAAAAGAACCAGCCAAACGAAGTGCATGGAAATCATTATATAGATTATTTGAGGAAAATCTCGTACAGTTTGCTTTGTCGGTGTAAATTCCAGGCCCCCAAGCTTTACCCCCCCCCTCAAGATTTTAAAGATCTCGCTGCTTTTACTGTGGCCTTCTCGTGTTCTGCAGCTGCTGCGGGTCTTCTTCCAAAAAAGCCGACTTGTTTATCCCCAGTTGGCTTCTCCTGACAGCGGACCGCCAGGGCCATCCGTTTGATGCCGTAATTCATCCCCTGCCTTTTACACTGGCTTTATTAAAAATAAGAAAAAAAAAATAAAGGAGCTTTTCCTCCCCGTCTCTGCGACGACTCGAGGCGGCCGCCGCCGCCATTCCTCAACTCGTCGGCTCCTCTCGTGCGGCGTGGGTCGCCGTCTGGTTTTCATTTGAGAACACTCGCGGTGCTGCGATCATAATGTTCGTCCTCTTTCTGATTGTTTCCACTTTAATTCTTCCCTTTATTGAAAGCTGTTAAAAGGCCGCGTAATGTGCTGACTTTAAGAGTCCAAAAGGGGTGAAGCGACGACGGCAGTGGAAAGAAAATAGCAGCTTCCATGGAGCCTTCGTGTTGTCTTTTATTATGGGTTATGATTTGCTCTGAGGTTGTTTACTTTTAAAATATGGCTTTTGCTTGAGTGTCTGTCTGTTCTAAATAGCCCTTTTAAACAAGACTTTATCTGATTTGAAACTTGCCACGGCCAAACAAAAGCCCTTTTCAGCAACATAAATTCCCCTTAATTAAAATTAATTGGCAGCAGATTCACGTAAGGACTAACGTAGCACACATGTTGCACAGAACCTTCAGAAATGTCACTGACTGGGCATGGAAGGGTTTCATATTTTGTCTTGTAAAAAAAGGAAAGTTGAAGGGATTTCTGATCTTAATCAGAAAAAGGACAGCCGTACAGAAATTCCTCGCAGCTCTCTGCAGAGAATACCCAAATTGTGATGGATGAAGCTCTGGCTTTTAAAAAAACTATTTTGACAAATTGAAGTTTCATCGATCGTTTGTTGGCAACATGTGAAGATATAAGAGGCGTGTGTTGCCTTGTTTACAGTAATGCTAGGTGGTATGACATGACAGCATTGAATCACTCATGAACTGATCATTCACTTAGAAACTGTATAGGAGTGTCAAACTCTTTTTTTTTTTTTAACATTAATGTAATTTGGCACTATACAAATAAAAATTGCCTTGATTTATTTGACCGACAAAAACACAACTGTTTCTATAGTCTTGAGGGCCACAGAAATAGCTATGGCTGGCCAAATTTGGCCCGCAGGCCTCGAGTTTGACACACATGCTGCATGCTGAATAAGAAGCAATAGTATCAAGTGTATTTTTAAATATGGCAAAATAATACAATTTAAACCAACAATATCTATATTTCGCAAAACTGCGACCAGGACTGCTGTCGTATCAAGCAATTCTAACATGTTGCTACGATAATACATAACTTGCACAGACAAACATTGTCAGAGTGAGAAAATGTTCACAGCGTCTGTTTAAAGAATTAGCCATTTCACAGTGCTAGGAAAAGGTTCTCATGAGATTTTAAGTCAGCCTCAATCCTAAAGGTAAAATTTAAGGTCAACGTTAGCTAAAATCCGAGAGAGCTAGCAGCGTGATGGAAGACCTGAGCGAAGCTGAACTAAAAACCCAGCTAATAATCTTCTAAAGCAAACATGGTTATTAAGCTGAGATTTTAATGAGCAGTAATTAGCTCACTTGGTAGCCAGGTCACCTGCTTCCAGAACCACGCTTGCTGTAGGCTGTTTATTTTACCGACACTATAGCGCTTGTAAATTGTTGCTAATTTTAGTTTTAAAACCTGTTAGCTTAAAAAAAACAACAAAAAAAAAAACAGGAATGAGCTCAACACTCCTTTCAGCGTCTGAGTCATGGCTGTCCATGTATTTTCCTGACTGAGATTATTTCCAAACATCTTTTTTTTTTTTTTTTTAGCTAAACCAAAATGAGAAAAGGAAAATAAAAAAGTTATTTTCCTCAGCTAGCTAGCTGGCTGACGGCAACGGAATTGATTTTCTAAGTAAATGAAAGAAAAGATCTGTAAATCAGTACAGGCGTTTTTAGAGAAGCTAAGTCATGTTTGTTGATATGTGTGTTTTGCAAATGTACCGGGTTCAATGTTATCCATGCGTAATTACAGCGGAGCAGATTGACCTTTCACCTGTTTGAGATTTTGTGTTTCTCACCCATGTCCATCTAAAAGTCATTGTTACACTTTTGCATTAGTAATCCACATTTTGATTTCTTTGTAACACACTAACCTTATACCCGCCGCTCTGTGTGTCACTCCTTCATGTGTGTCAACGCTAATGTTGTCATCTGAGTCTTGTTTTCACTGCTGCGACATTTTAACTTATACCTTCCCTCTACCCCCCGACCCCCGACCCCTCCCCGCCGCATCTCTCTGCCTGCCTGGACGCTGACCCCTGCTCTCCTCGCCTCTTAACACCCTCTCAACTCTAAAGTATTACCCCACTCACCTTCTAAACAATGCCTTAGTGGTAAGTCCCGTTGAGTCACTCTTTTTATTCAACGTCAGGTGTTTGTGTCTTTATTTTGCTTCTTTTTATTTTTGCTCTATTCGTCCATATTTTTGCACCTGTATTCCATACTGAGATTTTCTTGTATTTTTTTATTTTCACTCTTACTCCACACACAAATCAATGTCTCAGCTTAAGCAGAGAACACGGCGCAAAGCGGCAGAGAGAATCAAAAGCAAGATAAACCGAAAGCGGCAAAACGTCATAAATGTTGCTGCGAAACCTTCATGACTTGAATTTCGGCCGTGTTAAACTCACTTTTCCTCTCTCTGTCTTTTACTGGTTAGGCCTTGTTCTTGGGCTGATCGTTTCAGTTGGAAAAATTTTGAGGCCCCCTGTTCTCTTAAATGTTCCCCTCCGTGACTTTTTGGCTTCTGCGCTCAGCTGGACCCTTTGCTGTTTTTCTGCTTACTTCACGTGGCTTTACGTCTCCGTGAGGGAATGTTTTTGATTTAGACGCCGTAGCTCACCGCTTGCTGTTTTCTGGCGTTAGCGCTCTGAATGAAAACATAAAAAAAAAAAAAAAAAACATAAATACTTTGTGTGGAGTGGGAAAGCACAGCTTAGTTTCTTTTCTGTTAAAATCTCATTCAGTTTATGTGATTATTGTCTGGACTTACTGCACTGCATTAAATGTACATTTCTGCAGTTCCCTCCGCTGTCATTCATCTATCTCTTCCCATGGTTTGAGTTGGAACAGCTGTTAAGAGGATTAAACAAAATCCGGTGGAAATATTTTTATGTATGTGTGTGCGTGTGTGCTCGTGTGTAACTATTCCATTTTTTAAATTTAGCTTTATTTTACAACCACAAAATTCTATGCATTTGATTGGAATTTTCTGCAGTCGTACGCTGTGGGAATGTACACCACACTTTTCAGATTTTACATCCTTCCAGTCCCCAGCCGGGACTTTTCAGATGTAAAATCTGAAAAGTGTGGTGTGCATTTGTACCACAATTCACTCCAATCCCATTAAGTAGAATCTAATGCCTCAGCAAGTACACCTATTTAGTTTATAAAGGCCACTTGTTTGCAATTAAGGGTGCATTCACACCAGCCATGTTTAGAACTCTGGTCCGCCTAAAAACCTAGGTCCCGGTTCGGTTGGAGTGAACTCCGGTGCAGTTTGAATGAATATGTGAACGCCAAGCGGACCAGAGTCTGCTCCAAAAGCAGGCCGTGTACTGTTGGCGAGAGGATTCTGGGTAGAAACATGCGTTGGCAAGGCTCGTGGTTTTTTATTGAAGACGAACGAGAAATCTCACCACCACTCACATGTCAGGGTATATTTAGTGTCTTTTTCTGACATGAGTGCATTTTTTTCCTTCAGTTGTTCTCACTACAGCTGGTTTGTCCGCAGTCAAACCAGGCTCATCGTCATCCATCTATGCTCAAGATAAATAGATCAAGTTAAACACACAATCACGCTCACCTTTGAGGAGCCGCCCTAAACACGCAGGATGGTTTAAATCAAATGCAAGCATAACATGAAACAATCACGATTCGTCCGTTGCAGTTTTTGAGTCGAAAGCTCTGAATGTCTTGCAGGTCAGTTAGTCATACTGAACAATCAAATCCCCGCAAAGTTCTGGTGCCACTGGATCGCCTTTCATGACTTGACATATGCGGTCACAGTTTTAAGCAGGCAAGCGGCTAAACCACATCAGTGCTCGTGAATATTTTGAGCGAGAGAAACTGATTCGGCAGCCAGTAAAGCTTTTTGCTTCTGGACTTTCCCGAGAGATTCAGTTTTATCGGACATTCTGTCGACATGCGGGTTTAATCTATTGCGTGTGGATCCAGTTTTTACCTCCATCTGAGGCCGCTGAGAGGTCAGGATGCATAAAATAAAGCATATGGATTAGAATAAATCACTAAGCTGTTAAGTTTCCCAATTTTCTGACACCATAAGGAGGCACTCCTGTGCTTCCAAGATGAGCATTTTTCTTTGTTTTTGCTGCCGCTAAATTGGTAGCATGTTGTGACTTCTCTGCATTAAGCATGCGACTGAAAGGCTTATGAAGGTTTTTGTAATTAGCGTCTTTGTCAGTCATAAATTCTCTATGTTTATTGTCAGCTGGTGACTGCAGGCCACCATGTGTCAGCAGTAGGAAATTTACTGTCGTTTTTCAATTTTTTGTTTTGTTTTTTTTTGTACTTCGCAAAGACACCGAGAGCTCTCCACGGCGGCACAGACAAAGATGGGATGAGCCGGGCGCTCGTTGGCAGCCGGCGATATAGATTTGAATTAAGTAGCATGTATGTTTTTTTTTTTTTTTTTTTTATCTGGAGCCGCATGCGGAGAGATAGAGAGGCAGAGCCCACTGTGTCCCATTCAGTATCAGCACAGCTGTCCCAGCATCCGTGGAGAATGGATTCCTGCTGCCACTGCCACGGGAGGCTCCAGCCAAGAAGAATGGGAGGATATCCACCGTGTGAGCTTGTGTGGTTTAAAAGGAAGGCGAGGAGCGAGAGGAGAGAAGGGGAGACGGATGTGTGTGTTTTTTTTTTTTCCTTCCACTTCTTTTTTCTCTCCTTTACGTGCGCGTCTCCGTGTCGTCTCCGCCTGCTTCTGTCTTCCATCGCTCATGTCACCTCTGGCACGGATTAGTTTTTGGCACGACCGCGGCTGCACCCGCGGCCTCGCTGCGGCTCTGCGGTTTCCCGATATGTTGTGCCGTTGCCATGGTTGCTTGAAACACACGCACATGGGTGCTAAATTACATAATTGAGCTCGAATATTCAGGGTAGCAAAAAAATCTAAATAAATACTGCGCCTCACAGAAATATTCACTCTTTGAACTTTCCCTACATTCATCGTATCGTTTATCGTGATAAATTACTAATAAGAGTTTAGATTTAGCGTTTCCACAATAAATTCCAGTTAATGATGTTTAAACTCTCCCAAAAGTCTCCGTATCCACAGTTTGTTCAATGAGAGCGTCAGTAAATATCAGTACATTTGAAAACGTGGTTAAATACATTTACTGTGTGCAGTTTGGTGATAGAAATCACTCTTTTGTATGTGACTGCTGTGCCAAACAGTCATAGCCATACAATTACCTAATAAAGGTCTAATAACTGGTATTTATCGCCACTTTTATTATTATCACAACTTTAAGTTCATATTGCTCACCTTTACCTACCAAGTTCCGTGTATTTTGGGGGATTTGGTGTTTGACATGTATTAACCTGTTTGTTTTAAACCCCATCAAATGAATATTTCATTCATCCACTGTTTACCTCAATTGAATCTGAAATTTTTGTCTGGAATTCCTGAGCAAAATTTCAAGTCATGCAGATTTTCAATCAGTTTTCAGGCCTCGGTGTTGACTGGGCCTTTCTAGTACATGTATGTACTAGGGGTGAACTGACTGCAGATTTTAGGCAATTACTGATTTTTAAAATGCCTGAACTGCTGATACTGATTTTTTATTTTGTTCTGAAAAGTCGCTAAATTGCCGCAGAGTTGCTAATTTGGCAACATTGAAGTGATTGTTGTTAACCACGAATGTGCAGATGTGACTTGGCGGTTATACAATTGATCCCCATTTATCGGTGCCCCAGTAATGTGAGCGTTGGTCTAAACTGCTAGCTTTGGTTGAATCAAAGGATGGCACAGAAACATTTTTATAAGTTAAGGTTGTCGCCAAATTTTAATCAATGCTTTGGTATACGATTTTGCAAAGCATCACTGTAGACATAAATGAGTGTTAAGCAAAAAAGACAAAAACAAACAGGAAAAATCAAAAGCTGTTCATGAAGCCTGAATATGAGTCTGCCTGCAGAGCGGCGAGTACAAAACTAACCTGATCGGATATTTAGGTCATTTTCAGACAAAGAACCTCAGTGTTGACCAAAATCACCATGTCAGAGCTTTTTGAAAATTGGTGAATTGGCCAGAAAACGACAGTTGAGACAAACATAACATTAGCATAAGTCACCTTTATTCATTAAAATTTTAGCACCTTACCAATAGCAGTAAAGTAGTGAAAGATCTGATTAACATCTTAATTTTAAGCTTAGCCTTTATCTATATGTGGTGTACATTTCAATGGTAATGAACAGCCTTAAGTTAGCGACTTACGGGTTTTCTTTTTTAAACCAAGCCTGAACTTTACTCAAGTCAAGTCGAAACAAGTCAGAAACCATGACAACATAACCCACTGACTGCTTGACCATCCAACAAGATGTGATATGAAAACGTTAATGATCATGAATACATTTAGGTGGATCAGTCAAGAAACTCCTAAGGTTTCTCTACGTATCTTAAACTTTCTCTCTTTTTTTCCCATCAACAAAGCGGCTGAGTTACCTGCTGCTCCAGGGAGCCTGATTAGGTCCTAAAATTTGGGAGCTGATTTATGAAAGCAGCAAACACAGCCCCATCACCACCATGTCATCTGCCCACCAGCGCCATCAAGAAAAAAAGTCCTGTCAAATAAAATTAATAAGATTCTCTGTTTGATGGATGAGATTCCCCCACGCGGACATTAACCAAAAAATTTAACAGCTAATAAATCATTGCTTGTGGAGTCAACAGTTAACAGGTCCCTGGGTTATAATGTTTCACGTGGCGGCATCGAGGTTCAGACCGCCGCCTCTCAGGCTCCCTGGGTCCAAACTTCAAAGTTTGTTTAGTTTCCCTTTTTTTTTTTTTTTTTTTTTTTTTTAAAGATAGTTTTAAAAAAAAAAAAAAAAAAAAGAAAAGTGCTTTTTTGGAAGCCCAGCCTGAAGTTGGCAAAAGTAGACCAGAAACTTGTCAGAAACCACAGCAACCAAACCCACCAACTCTGTTTGACCGTAAAGCAAAACGAGATGCAAAAAATGATGTGGAATGAATTTGGACTGACCAGGTGAATGTTTATTCTGTTACAGAGCTTTGTTTGTAACGAGTTGTTCAGTAATCAAATCTGATGTGTTTCGCCATGAATATTAACACCTTTGCAGCTCCGAAGCA